AGAAAATGCCCGGATGTCCGCCCCCGAGGATACCGAGGAGCACAACTGACTAAAAATTACCACGAAAACGAAACGAAAATAGGAACGATTAATTTAAAAGACAGTTGTGAAAAACGATGGTATTATTTGTAAAAATTGTAAGGCAGGAGCGGGAAACTGACACTTTCTCATCGCTCAGCGACATTTGATATTATCAATGCTGTAATGGTAAGAATTTACAATCTTATCGTTTTAATGGTGAGAACGTCAAGTCTTACAAATTTGTTGGCAAGACATTCAATTCTCACCACTAGCTACACAAATTCTGATTGACAATGAGGATACTCGACAATTGAATGACAAGAATTTCAATTTGAATTTGGATTCCCAATCACAAGTTTCTAATGTGCTTTTCCATAATAATAAGGTTATTACAGCTGGAGTATCGACCGACGCGCAACGGGGATTGATGCGCGGTGTGCTGTCTGAGTGCATACTTTGAGGTATTCTCGTAATAACTTTATTATTATACATCTTTTCCTTCAAAGGATACATCATGGGAATGCCAAAATCCAAAAAGTTTAGAACAGAATCAGCGAACTTCTTTGTGTTGAATCCGGTCAAACTCTGATGGCAGCCATGTTTGTTTTTATTAGTAGAGGATGCTTATGCGCATAATCATTCCATATTTAGAATTCGAACTTCCTTTTTGCTGATAAGTTAAATCTTCTATTTAAATCTATGTGAACACGTAAAAAAACAATATAACTCATTGTTTCCTTGACAAATTTGTGAAATTAAAACACAGTGAATATGCTCAATACATCAAAATAGTGAAATTAAATGTCAGTGAAAATGAATGGTTTTACACTACATGAATCTCTAAACATTTTTTATGTTGTTATAAGAACTGCTCAATTCCTTAAAGTGCCTGTGAAATGGCTGCTATTTTCACGCCTAAAATTATCCATTGATATCTAAATATTATTAATTTTTATGTTTCTAAGCATGAATTATTTTTTTAAGTGAAAAAATGAGTTTTAAACTCAGTCTACGGCAACTTTATTTTTGTGTATTTTAAAACGAGGCTCCTCATTAGCTTCTCATTTGCATACAGAAATTCCCCTTGTGACGTCAGAAGGGGAAGTCGCATGGCAGCTTGCATTGCCGATACGTGTAAATAAGGCAAATTTCTTGTACAGTTTTCTCGTCTTTGACTATATTGTCACTTATGTACTTGTTCGTCGAGGAAGAATGGACCATAATGAACGCATAGTATCAATTGTTGTTGCATGGGGTTGAGTTAGATGCGAAATATTCCGTTCTGGTGTAGCTGGTCACCGTGATTGTCACCGACACCGACGCACGTTTGTAAACTGTCGCTGGACAAAATAGGATTTGACGTCGGAATTATCTCGTTATTGAGCAGGTTACTAGGCACGTTACTACACTGTTTTATTTCATCGATCGCCTGAGTAAAACTTTCAAAATTAAAACAGTGTTTGGTTTCCACCAAATAAAGTTTTAATATGATATAATTATGACAATCACGCCATGGATCACGCTAACTCGAATCCACTCTGAATTTATCTGTATGTGTGTCGATCTCGATTATTCTTGTTATCCAATTAAACGCCACTTTTAACGCACTTGCCCTTGTCGTGACATGACGCGTTCACCTATTTCAACAAAATTTCAATTTATTTCCACGCGGCTGTCATTTATTTAGTAACTGTGATTTGTCGTTCGTCGATTTTTATTTTTTTAATTATTTTATAATGATCACTATAGTCTAATGTTTAGAATGTCAAAATATTTAATAATATTTATGTATCAATGGATAATTTTAGGCGTGAAAATAGCAGCCATTTCACATGCACTTAACCTTTTCACCGTTAGTTCCCTCTGTTCATCACAAATTTACAGAATAGTTGCACTTCCCTTCAGAAAATTGAACACAAAAAATTTTTTAAGTGAAAACTGAAAAATAACGCAAGTTCTGTCTATTGGCTCCAAAATTATGGTTCATTTCCAGAAATATTGAAGAATATAGAATAATTTGGATGAGAAAGTCTGGTGGTGAAAAGGTTAAAGAAAGTATTGTTGTGTGAACAAAATTACAAATTGCACACAAACTATACTTCATATCCTTTTAGATATTATTGTAGACTTTAACCGATAACGCTTTCTTTAAATCATCTGCCGTGGTTTTCTGCCAAGCATGGAACATTATTGTCTTCGTAGATGTAGTCATAAAGAATCCATTGTCTGAGAATCGTCCAGCGATTCCAGGGGCATCTAACCATGTGAAAAGTGCAAGGTTGTCATTCGTCAGTGTGATGTTGAACTTCATATCGGAATCTTCACTCACACTGACATTTGAAACCTGATAATTGAATAAACAGAAAAGTATTTTTAAACCAACAGTGATGACTTTAAGGTAAGCTAATAACACTGAATAAATGGCAAGGTAAAGACTATGTCTAATTATAGTAAATACGTACTGCGTGCGTGACTCGAACGACACTCGCATACGCATCTAATCACCTAGCTTCACACCACTACATGTCTTCCCCTCGGCCACCGGGCATCCCAAAAAAGGATGCTTAATAACCAAGCTTACCGGTTTTACGTGTGGAGAGCATGAAACCCGTCCACGTGATCCACGTCACACAGCGTAGCGTGTTTACTTTGATTTGAAATAATCTTACCGGCAATAAAATAACGATATATCCTCGTAATACTGCATCTACTGATGCGTTGTTAACAACCAACTTTCCGAGTGACTCTAATTTTGAACGATATTTGTACAGCCGACGTCAGGGTTCGATAACTCAAAAAATAGACTGAATCAAGCAAAGTTTGTAATATGTACATGAAAAATTTGGTTTATTTCTGTATTCGTAAAAATTGTTCAAAACCATTACATAAAAATCACGTATCATTTTACACTAAAATAATGACGACGTGGTTATTTGGCACTCGGCCATCAGCTGCCAATACCACAAATATTGTTCGCGTACGAGAAGTCTGGTATGCGGTGTGTCTGAAAATGTCATACCCCTTCTATTTTATAGCTCAGCGGAATTTCTCATTTATAGCTGAACGTAGACGCGCACGCAATCATGAAGTGGAAGCGTGCGCAATTCATCGATGGCGGCATTGTTAAATATTTTTTACAACTCTCATGTACGCCGCTATTGATAACTTACGACTTTTTCAATTTATCCAATACGTGTCAAATCGGCAAGGAAATTAAATATAGATATAATGGCGCAGTATCTAGTTTATCTGTATATTTAATACGAATATTAGCAGAATGTATCACTGATCCAACACTTTTGTCTAACGCCCTTGGTTTAACTTTTAATAAATAAAATCAGGCATGTCCAAAATAAGACAATGGACAGACAGACACATGAACAGGACCCACAAATTAAGACCTGTGTTAGATTGATGTCTGGTGTGAAAAACTTGTAAGATGTACATTTTGATTATTAATTAAAGGCCCAGGTATACTATAAATACGCTCCTAAACAATAAGGATTGTTTCCTTGCTTTTCACGCTGTAGTAAACAGCTCCAGCCAAGCTCCGGTAAAAACATGTTTTCTCGAACTTACAGGTCGATAATGTCGTGCCAAAGTGAATGTATGTGACTATGAATATCACAGCAGTGACTGTGTGTAGTATTTATGACAATAAATAGTGTACGAGCTGAAATTTTGGCGGATAAAAGTCAAAAACACGAACCGGGGAAAGGGACGCGCTACTAATCTTGAATAATTAACTACTGTCAATCAAAGTCACGTGATGTTGGACCGCTGAAACAGGATGCGTCATAGGCTACGCAAGTGATTAACAACACTCATTAGCATAGCCACACCTCCAATTCACACTTGCCTGGGGCAAGTGAATTGGGCCTTTAAGGAGCTTACCTTGACATTGGCTTCACCAATTCCTTTTGCTTCATTAAATCCCTTCAGATAAAGAACATTCTGAGCAATGGTCGTTCCGTTTTGAACCAGTTCCATAGTCATCACACATTTTGAAGTCTGAACTGCACACTTTCCAGAAAACAGTAGAAATTGTATTTCCCTATTATAAAGCTGTATCGATGATTGTGCATTCTGAAATCAAAAACAAAATGGAGATAAAGATATTTATCAGCACCGAAAAAAAAAACAGAATTTACTATTGCATAAAAAGCTGTATTTGCATTCATCGAAATGTACTCTTTTGAAATTTTTATTTCAGGTGAACAACGTCACCAAAATTGAAGTGCGCACTCACGTTTGAACACCTTCCATTATTTTCATTGGACGCAGAATACTAGTAATAGAATGGGACTAAACCATCAGCACATTTATCTTATTGATGAAAACATTGGTATTTTAGGATGTTATCGTCTCTCATTGAACTATTACTGTAAAATCTGTATTAGAAGCTACGGTTTCTATTAAAATGGTACAATGCAACAGAAGGGATGTGGCTTCTATTAGAGCATCTACATCTGATTTTTTGTTCTCAATTGTACAAAAAGAATGGGTGTGACTTCTATTAGAGATGTGGCTTCTAATACAGATTTTAAGCTACTCCAGGTACGGAACTGATGTATAATAATAAAGATGAAAACCAGAAAGTATGCACTCAGGCGTTTAGGGATTGCATAAGCCTTTTTTCCAAGTCAGTCATTAGGATTGCCGTGATACCAAAAATGACAAAAATATTCATCAAAATTATAAAGAACAGAAAATTAGGGAACTGCTTTATGCAGTAGAACTAACAAATAAACTGCCCAAAATAAAAAATAAACAAGCAGCCTGTCGGCTGAGATAGCTCCACTGTGCACATTTCAATTAAAGAACAGAAGATATCATTAGAAAATGAACAATATGTATAGTATCAATGCAATGGGACTTGCAGTTTTCAACAAGAATTCAAAAATATCACTTTAAAAAGACAAAAATAATCATCAAAATTAAATAATTGAAAATATCATCAAAATGAACAAATCTGAGAGAGGTCCACATTTAGTACCTATATATGTAATATCAAAGCAATTAGACTTGTGGTTTTTAACTAGAAGTCAAAAATACCACTTTTTACCAAAAATGACAAAAATATTCACCAGAATTAAAGATATTATTACAAAATGAACAAATTTGAGAGTGGTCCACATGTAGTACCTATATATGTAATATCAAAGCAATTGGACTTGTGGTTTTTAACAAGAAGTCGAAAATATCACTTGTTACCAAAAACTACAAAAATATTCACCAAAATTAGAGAAATAAAGATATTATTACAAAATGAACAAATCTGATAGAGGTCCACATGTAGTACCTATATATGTAATATCAAAGCAATTAGACTTGTGGTTTTTAACAGGAAGTCAAAAATATCATTTTTTATGATGAGCAAATCCGAGAGAGGGTTACCTGCGGCAGACTTAAGTTTTTTTAAAGTAGTCGAAAATGTAACTTTTCACCAATAATGACAAAAATATTCATCAAAATTAGAAAATTGAAGATATCATCATGTAATAAACAAATCTGAGATACGTATATACATGTATATAATATCAAAGCAATCATACTTTCGGTTTTTAACAAAAAGTCAAAAATATCACTTTTTACTAATAATTACAAAAATATTCATCAAAATTAGAGAAAGATATCATCATGAAATGAACAAATCTGAGAGAGGTCCACATGTAGTACCTATATATGTAATATCAAAGCAAACAGACTTGCGACTTTTAACAAAAAGTCAAAAATATCACTTTTTACGAATAATTACAAAAATATATTCACTAAAGAATTAAAGATATCATCACGAAATAAACAAATCTAAGAGAAGTCTGCCCAAGGTACATATACCCCAAGTATCAAAGCATTCAGGCTTGTAGTTTTCAAGAAGAAGTCGAAAAAGTAAAAAACACGGGTGATGGAAGACAGACGATTGGCAAAGTTGACAGTGGAGTTAAAAAAAAATTAAAACAGGTTTTTACATTTATTATAAAATCATTTTCACAGAAGCCACAGAAATGAAGCTGATTCAATCACACTAGTACCGGCAGTAATAAAAAAGTTTGACCCAGCTGACAACTCGTTCTAAATGTATCAGTCTGCCATTTCAAAACCAGTTGATTTTTGCTAAAATTCCACTCGCAAAACTTTTTTTGTTATTCTGGCATGTTAAATAAAAAACAATTGCAATAAAACAGTTTGCAAAATAGAGCAGATTATATACAGATATTCCTACATGACAATGCAAGGTGATACAAATTCTAATTATGGTGTGAAAACTAAATCTTTAATTATGCACTGGGTATTATTTTCCCTGAAAAGTGAAATGCACTATAAATTAAATCCACATGAACATGTGAAATTGCAATACAACTTATCAAATCAGTAGATAAACCAGAAAATAAGCTCACAGTACTTTGTATTAAATATCATCTCTGCATTGTGCCACTTGGTGGCTGTATACTGAAAGGATCACTGCATTGTGCCACTAGTTGGCGCTCTTCAATGCTGAGACTGAAATTGAGGCTTTTACAGTATGATGTACCTGAGTATATGATTTCTTGATTGTCCAGGTATTTAATGGTTTGAGTTTATTCTCCCATTTCCACATGGTAGCCTTTAATGATACCCCGTCAATATTCTGGGTCAGATCGTTTATACCATATATGGTCACATGACATAGTTTTAGTCCACTTTTCTCGCATGTCTTGAATGCAGCTACATGAACTGGCGCAAAAAACCTCTGTGCATAATAATGCAGCATCTTCCATTTACCACCGTATTCTAGGAATATTAAATCAAACTTAAATTAAGTGAGGAGATATTCTGGAAATATCAAATCAAACTTATATCAAGGATCGACGTATTCCATGAAATCAAATCAAACGTCAATTAAGGGAAGAGATATTACATGAAAATCAAATTAAATTTATTTAAACAATGGAGATATTCGAGAAAAATCAAAATAAATTAGGTAAACAATGGAGATATTCTAGGAATATTAAATCAAACTTATATCAAGGATCGACGTATTCCATGAAAATCAAATTAAATTTAGTTAAACAATGGAGATATTCGAGGAAAATCAAAATAAATTAGGTAAACAATGGAGATATTCGAGGAAAATCAAAATAAATTAGGTAAACAATGGAGATATTCGAGGAAAATCAAAATAAATTAGGTAAACAATGGTGATATTCTAGGAATATTAAATCAAACTTATATCAAGGATCGACGTGTTCCATGAAAATCAAATCAAACAACAATTAAGGGTAGAGATATTACATGAAAATCAAATTAAATTTATTTAAACAATGGAGATATTCGAGGAAAATCAAAATAAATTAGGTAAACAATAGAGATATTTGAGGAAAATCAAAATAAATTAGTAAACAATGGAGATATT